ACACACACGCTAGTTGAAGTGGTTCATGCGTCTCTGAGATGAACTGCAGACACCTCAGACCCCGGACATGGTGGGGAAATCCTGTTACTAGCCCTGAAAGAAATGGATGTGCGGTGTGGTGAGGGAGGTCCGTGCAGCTCAGACTGCGACCTGGACCTGGCGGAGCAGCAGAAAATAGACGAGTGAAACATCCGTGATTGCAGTGAAACACTTTTTAAGTGCTTATCAGCCCAGAGTGCATCAGGTTGTTCCAGCAGATTCCCAAAAATCCGTTAGTTTGTCACTCGTCCCTCTTCGCAGTTGGCAGGTACTCGCCCCGGCTGACTGACAGCACTCTGCAGGCCGAGCGGAGATGGCTTAACGAAGTCATTCGGCCACTGCAATTTTGTCCTTATACAAACACACGAGTCCTTACACCTGCTCATTTCTGCCACATCAGACTTTTAGAAGCAACCACGCACATCTGAACCCAAACCTGGTGGTAAGCTTGGTGTCTACGTTTACCTGCAGAATCTTTCATGTTTCTGATAATCAAAGAGCCAGACAGCAGCGGGACAGACAGGCCGAGGGCGTCCTCTGTTAGCTGCTGTACGACAGGCCGAGCGAGCGGGAGTCAGCGGACCCCCGAAGGGAGAAAGGCACAGTCTGCACCAGAGGAGGCAAAGCAATGAGACCCAGGACATAGCAGTTCTTACTGCTCTGACCAGTGCAGGCAAACACACCCTGACATGGACTGGATTTTGGTCCCCACAAAGATGTTTAAACAGGTATACACACACACTACGCTAACTTCCTCCAGGCTTCACTAATTATGTCCACAAGTCAAACTAGCTGCACAGACGCAGCGGTCGAGCTCGTCATCGGGCGCGCTGCTTAACGTTCAGCAGCGAATGGAGAACGAATCTCGTCATGCAGATGAAGTCTGAACAAATCAGAAGCTCCAATCACTTCCAGACGGCGGCCGCTGTGATTGAGGCCTCACTCAGTCTTTGCCAACCTCGATCAGTCAGATGAAGGCTGGACGCCAGACTTCAATCAGAGTGGTAAACTGTGCTCTGACATCAGCGTCATCAGCGGGAAGGACTGTGCAGGGGGCCTTAATGAGAGCAGCAGAACAGGAAGTGAAGTTCAGCAGGACTGGATGAGAGCTTGCACCCAAAACTGCTGCCGAACACGGCGCAGGGTGCGTGATTACGCTGCTCAGTAACTGTAATGCAGAAGATTTAAGACAATAATTCATGGATTTAACCGTCTATCCCGCCATTTCTGACTGAGATGGCGAGGTGTGCTGCCAGCTAACATCATCCTCCATTATTCATTAATACCATGTAGGAACATGAATAATCGGTTCTGACTACTGTTTTCATGTCTGTCAGCAAACATCGAGAGCAGTTTTCAGACAGGCAGAACCAAACATCCAACGCTCGTCCGCTCTCAGCTCCAGTGACTCCACGGCCCACAGCCGGAAACGTATAAATGTGGGAAAATACATCCTTCAGATCATTTCACAAGACACTCAAAGACTCATTTGCATAGTGTACTTACTCCTTTTTTATCTCTCTTTGGATCTTCCTTTCAGCTCATAACCACAAAGTGTCAATTAGCAAGTTTTAGCACCGCTGTGAGTGTATTTTCTGTGTGTTGTTGAACGCAGCAGATGCCTCAGCAGCAGCACGGGTGAGAGCGCTGCAGTCAGATTTAATGAAGACAAATGCATCGCCGGGAGGCTGCAGAGCGATACCGCAGGACGCAGACAGCCTCTGATGACTTCCTGAACGCTGCACGACAAACGGCCGAGAAGAGACAGACTGACAGGCGGCCGCGGGCTTTAAAGCCAGCAAACACGCTCCAACTCAAACACTCGCTGCCTTTATCGGTGCGAGGAAGACACTGAACACACCAGCCCAGGCAGACTTCCCAGAGTCCATCTGCTCCACACAGAGGTCTGCACTTCATCACAGCTCCCAGCCGTCTTCCCCATCGGAAGCTTCTTTACAGTTTCTTACTTTGGGCACAGGATGTGCCACGTTTAGCTTCTTACATTTAGTGTAGTTTTTATAGCTTTCAGAGAAAGTTTGAAAAACCTGTGGCTGAGATACCTTCAAGCAGCCCTGATCATCCCAGGATGCTGTGCAGCTAATGTGGCTAATGCCAGAGGCCTGCTTTTACCATCTATGTTAGAAATCTTACATTATTTATTTATTTATAGGAAAAAACGAGCCCAAAGAGTCGTGCTGATTTCTGCTGTTTACTTTATGAAGTACACACTCAGGCGTTCTGCAGAAACAGACTTCTTACATTAAGATGAAATATTTAGTTAAACTTCTTTGAAGTGACAGAAAGATGGTGTTTGACTGGTTGGCCCACTTGAGGTCACAGTGGATGGCCCACGATGTGGAATAAGTTTGACACCTCCACCTTTCCATCGGTCCATCAAAAGTAGTTGTAGGAGGTGGATTCGGCTTAATCTGAGCCTTGGACAGCACTGAGCCTTCACCTGAGCTCTCACCTGTAACCAGGATAATGACTGTGATCTGTAACCACTCGCAGACACCACGGCTGTTTCTCCTGTCTGTGCAGGAGCGTCTCACCGCGCCACGAACTCTATTTTTCTTGTTTGATGGTGTTTGGCAAACAGCTTGTGGGTGCGTTATCGCCACCTTCTGACAGCGGCAGCATGTCACATACGAACAAGCACAAACAAAGAATACTGTGACTTATTGATATATGAAATATCTGATGGCACCGTGGTTAGCGCTGTGTTAGCCTGCAGCTGGAACCAACACCTGAGCTCCACCTGGTCAGCTGACCAATCAGAGTAAACTGACAGCGTGTGGGACATCCCTGCTCCATTTGTTTTGCTGCAACATCATAATTACTGTTGCTCTCTGTCTGCTCAACTTTTGATGTCACAGCGTTAGATTTTGGGAAAGATGATGGTGGGAGGAGTGGGAGGAGCCACGAGTCCACAGAAACAGGCGACTGGGCTTTGGGTTTATGACCCACTTGTTCACTTTTAAACTTAGTTTGCTTATTTTATTTTATATTTTTTAATATTTTCAGATTTCACTTACAGTTTGGTTACATTTGAGCAGATTTCGGTGAATTTCAGTGCTGTGACACGTCCACTGCAGGCCACAGCCATGTTTAGTATTTCTGTGGTCGTTTTTCGTGAAGTCACACAAACATGACTGTGATGGTGATGGAGCAGCATCATTGTGCAAACATGCTCTAATGATGAACCTGTAAATTATCATAATTACTGCTTAAAATCTGAATGATTGTGCTAAGCCACGCCCTCCTGAAACATCTGTTTAACAGGTAACGACACAGCAGAACATTGCTCTTCAATATTTGATGGCACGATAAATGTGTGAGTTGAGCAGATCTGTGACCGTCTGACAGGTTTTAGTCATCAAACAGTCTCATTAACCCGAGCAGAGAGCCGCCGCTCTGCTCGCACGTCACACGCCGAAGGCTGATTTTGGTCTTTTGCTTGTTTTAATGATCAGATTTCTGCCATGAAGTCGCTCCACATTTCAAAGATGCTGTCACATTGTGTCTTGTTAGATGGTAAATGAGGGTTACCCTCCATTGAGGCAGCGTCGTAGCGAGTAGGAGGCTCCTCCCCCGCAGGTTCGAGAGCAGTCGCTCCAGGCGCCCCAGGCATCCCAGCCGATTTCCCTGTCCTCATCTGAGCGGGTCATCCTGGATGCCTAAAGAAGGACAAACAGCAACACAAAGGTTGTGCGTATTAAATCACATTCACACCAAAGCTTTGTGGTTGTAAGAAGGCGTGCCTCGTTGGTTTCCAACGCCTGCTGAAGCAAAACGCTCCTGCAACACGAGCGTCTGTTCTCACGGCAGTCTGAGAATCAGTCACAGTCAGACATGGCTCTACCACGGTCTGCATTTCTGTCTGATTGCTGGAAATTCAACAAACCTGCTGGAGAGCTCGTCACAGGCCGTACATTTACTGCTCTGTGCCGTGTGGAAACACTCCGTGATAAATTCTTGATAAAGCTTAAGCTAAAAAAAGCTTAAAGGCTCAGAGGGACACAGTGAAAGTGTGCCATGCCGGCAGAGATCATTTCTTTTTACAGCGTTAGAGCAAATATATCCACAGCGAGCCGACGCAGCAGAAGTTTAGCTCTCTAAAAAGTCCCAAAGTCTCAGGAAAGAGGCTGAACGGCTCATGCAGGCGCCGCACAGCTGAGCGACAACACTCCCAGAATGAGACGCAAGAAATGTGAAACTGAAGAAACTATTACACCAGTGGTGAACGGGCAGCTAAATGGGAAAAGATATTTCATTGTCACGTTTGCTGTGTAGCAGGCAGGACCCGACACACTCGGGGAAGTAAACTTAAAACGCCAGCTTTATCTGCGGGACAAACTCCACAATGAAAACATGAAAACTAAACCAGAAACTAGAAACATGAAAACTAGGGAGCTAAACTGGGACAGAGAACAAGGAAAACACACAGGTAGGGGAACGGGTGGGAACGCAGCTGGGACCAACTTCATAGGCTGCATCTTCCTGAGGCTGTTTGCGTCACAGCCAGGCGATGAAGGCTGCGTCTTCCTTTTCCCCAGATTTGAAGGATGGGTCGGGTGTGTCCTTCATGGCCCACCATATCCCAGAATTCATAGCGCGGCCCAGCCAACTCCAGTTTCCAACAATGGCAGCAGCTACTAAGTTTTAATATTACTCTTATTACTCTTTCTGTGTCACACGAGAATGTAGCTGTGTAAGCTTCAAACATCTGCTCGGTTTATCAAGACACCGCATGTTTGCAAAAGTGCTCCGACGTTTTCGGAGACGTCTGTTACCCACCAGCTCGACAGCTGACCGGGGCGAGAACGGCGAACTTCCGGCACAGCGTTTTCAAACCCCTCGCGGTCTTTGGCTACTCAGGTTAAACATGATATATGAGTCGCTCAGATAACATAAAACTTTTATTGTTTGGCTTTTTTCAGTATTTTATTTGTTCCTGAGTAAATCGGTTTGGCTGAGATTAAAGTTCTAGTTTTCACACAGCTGAATAAACGTCAAACAGAAAACTGATTAAACAGAAGTGAGACGGTGGAGAGTTTACTCCGGTCCTCAGGAGGATGCAGCCTATGAATTTGGACACCGCCAGGGACTATCAAAATAAAACAGGAAACACAGGGAACACAGGGACAGGAGTGACATGAAACACGACTGACTGGGGGACAAGAAAATAAGCATGACGACAGAACTAAAGCTACAGTAAACAAACAAAAGCAAAGAACTAGAACTCAAGAAATACCCGAGAACAAAACAAACTAAAACACCAACATTGATGATCCACGATGGAATCAAAGGTTCACAATAACACAAAAGCACCGAGTCACCGACCCAGGATCGAGACATTTATTAACTTATGATAACACAGGAGACAAACTTTTTTAAGATCAGGTTGAAAACTTTCCTCTACAGGATCACTTATCATTAGTTACACTTCAGTAAATGTAATCTCGAGTTTATAGCTTCACAAATAAAATGTCTATTTGTGTTTTCAGTGAGGAAAAATCTAGAAACAGTCTACATGTCTGATTTCCAACGATTCCCACTGGATACATGGAGCTGACGCCGTCTCTCCTTCCAGCCCGACACAGAGAAGCATCTCTGGGTAAAACTGGCCTGTGGACTCCTGCTGTCCAAGAAAGCCCCGATAAAAGAACGTCTTTCGGTGGGACGAGCGGTCAGACTCCGACGGTCGCTCCCGATAGGCTGAGGAGCCACAGGTGAATATGAATAAATGATTCAGAGCAGCGGGACTGATCGCAGCCTCACTGACAGCACGTCACGACAGCAGCCGCTGTAAAGCATTTACAGATGTTACAGATGTTTCCACCTCTGTGTTCAGAGTTTGAAGGTCACTCAGATTCATGATGTAGATAAAAACTGACTCACATTTTTATTTACATTTACAGATATCGCTGTTATGTCACTGCTCTTTTATAAAGCTATATATATTACGCATCATATTATACGCTGCATATAGGACTATTATATAATACAGACATTTTCCCACACAAGCTATTTCAGGAGAAGCAGGCTGGAATATTTCCCACAGTTTTATCATAATCATAAATACTGGATGCAGGCTGTGCAGGAGGGCGCGCACACGACGGCGTGCAGGAACGTTCAGGAGAACAGCGGCCGATGCATCACCCGGCAAACATTAAACAAGCAATGTTTACGTATGCATGTGGTCGCTTCATATTCCCCAGACTTCTGCACGTCACTGACTCGCACGCTTCACCTTCGTTTCCATCCATCCACCCTTTTAACTGCTCTTAACCTATCCATTCGGGGTTATGGGGTGGGGGCGTAGCCTACACGTGGGCTACACCCAGGACAGGTTGCCAGTTGTGGCAACCTCCGTTGTGGAGCGCCACAACGCCGCTGCTGTTGACCATCTTTGTCGCTGTGGGCGTGTCAGAGGAGCTGCGGCGCCACCATCAACTACAACAGCTGCTGTGGTAGAAAAACAGAGGCTGAATCTTATATGTTATGTTTGCACACAAGCTCCTAAATACATTTCAGAGCGTTTACGCGTGAGTGCGTTATGTTGGTCACGTGTGAGTAAAACCATCGCCAGCGTGACCGTCCTGGTGGAAACCCCAGGCGTCCCAGTCGGCTTCGCCAAACCTGTCCTCTGGCCCTGCCTCCATGTTCAGCAGTGACTCATAATCTGTTTGAGATGCATGTTGGGTGTAAAACAGGCTGATCAGTGGAGACTGATCGTACCGCAGCAGCAGGCCTCGAGAGTCCTTCTGCTGCTGTAGAAACCTCTTTGCACACTCAGGTTTCTTATTTCAACGCTTGATATTTTACCATCACCAGGCCAAAAAACGCTCAAAAAGACGCGGCCAAGATATCTGAATTATACATAATCCAACCCTCTTACTCAAAACATGCCTGACTGGATGCAGCCAAGTAATTTCTGACAGTTTGTGATCCGTGCGTGCAGCATCGTCCCATCGGGAGCGTTGTCCAAAGTGCAGAAGAGTCCGGCGGTTCGTCGGCACGGACAGCAGGTCTCTCTGCCGAAACACTGATGAGAGCCTCTGCAGACACCCAACAGTAGCATTACGTCACACGAAACAGTCGTCTGTTTTAGGCAAGCAGTCACACAAAGCTGCTACAGCCTCGACGCACCCCCCCACCGAACACCGACCTTTCTCTTATCTTATCTGCTGTGTGAAAAGCTGAGATGAAAGAGAGGGAGTGATGGAGGGAGGCTCTGATAGAGAGCGGGAGAGAGTTTTCCTGGCTGTGTGTCACCAAAAATAGGAAAATTGGCTTCCCTGGGTCAGTGATGTCACTACAGACCCTGTGGTGCCTCGGTGTGTGTGTGTGTGTGTGTGTGTGTGTGTGTGTGTGTGTGTGTGTGTGTGTG